CTACCCCGGCCCCCGTTAACCCGGGGGTTAACNCCCCCCCGGCGAAAACAGCCTCTCGCATTCCGCCGACATGGCCTGGATCGTTTTCAGAAAATCCCCCCCCCGGGGGGGGGGGGAAAAANCGCCATCCGCGAGAGCCGAGGATATCGCCGTCTACGTTCATGCCAATACTCCAATGGATCCCGGACATCACCGTCTCCGTCCTCCCACGATGACTGCCACAATTCGAGCTCGTCTACATCATCATCTACATCATCGTTTCCATCAAAGCAGCGAGAGCCAGTCAGTTCCTCCTTCGCCACACTAGGCCCAGACATAGATCGCGTGCGCTCGCAGTACGCTTGAAATGGATTGTAATACTTCCTCTGCCGCTTAGCCGCAGGCCTTTCGGCAACGCGACCTGGCACTATCCGTAGGCGGCGGTATTGCGTCTCCCATACCTCTCGAACCGTTTGCTTTGCATTGACCACCCAATCAGGATGATCTTTCCACTCATTTTCAAAATAGCCCCATCGAAACGCCGGGTGCAACGCCAAGGCGGTACAGTAAATCGGTGTCTCATCCAGCAGGCGGTAGTATTTGTTGAGCTTTTCCCAGCCCAGATTGATGTTGATCCTCAAGTGCTCGAAATCAGGTATCCCGCATGCGAGCTGCTTGTATTTCTCGAGAACTTCTAGGAGAAACTCAAACCCCTGAACGACTTCCCATATATTTCCGTACGAGCCAACCCATCCTCGCTTTCGCCTACGCAGCTGGCCATCGCCCTCTAGAGTCCGCACAGCGTCCTCGTAGAATCCCAGCAGCTTGGCCAGATGCTCCAGGACTATCCAGTCGTTGCTCGTCAGCTGGTTCTCCTCCATGCAGATCCGAGGCTCTTTGGCTGACTTTCTGGCGCCGCCAGTTCTCTTTGACCTGTTCTCCTGTTCCCATTGCTGGCGATGCTTCAGAATGAGCTGCTCGAGAAACGGTCGGAGAACGATAGCGCGCCGGATNTTACCCCCCCGGGGTATACAGTTAAGAGAGAGCCAGCGTGTGTCGTTGTCGATGATCANACGGGGTNTAAAACCGGGGGGTTACGGTCGGTCTCGCCTGTATCCTTGCAGCCGATGACATATCAAATTCCGATCGCTGTATGCTTCGTAGCAGACCAGTTAGCTGGTCTGACCTTCTGACATCCACTACAAGGTTATGTA